ACTCATCTCTTATATGCTGATGATGTTATTATTTTTTCACAAGTCTCTAAGGATATTGCTAAGGAGGTGAAGAGTATTGTGGATGACTTTTGTAATTGGACTGGGCAAAGGATCAATACACATAAATCTCAAATTATTTTCGGAAATATTGTTAGTAATCATATGAGAAAAAAGGTTACTAAAGTTTTGAGCTTCAAAGTTGTCAAGGAGATGAGCTATCTTGGGATAAAGTTATCTCTTAATCGGTTGAGGGAAACAAATTTTCATGATATTTTAACTAATATGATGGATAGACTCAATACTTGGGGGAAGAAATTTTTTTCTTTGGGTGGTAAGGTTACTCTTATCACTAGCTCTCTTTTGACCATGCCTAACATCTTAATAACACACTCCATGATCCCTAAGAAGGTGTTGCTTACTTTGGAAAAACTTTGTAAAAGTTTTATTTGGGATAAACATGATGGTAGTCATGGTATTCACTACATAGCTTGGGATGATCTATGCAAACCAAGAAGTATGGGAGGCTTGGGATTACAATCTCCAATGCTGAAGGCTGGACCTTTAAGAGCAAATCTGTCTTGGAATTTTCTTCAAAAACCTAGTACAATTTTTCATAGAGCTACGAGAGCTAAATATGGGAAGAGTATCTTGAATGGTACTCAAAATAAGGTCACTTATAAAGCTTGGAAGATCTTATTAGATGGTGGGAAATTTCTTAAGAACATTACTAGATGGAATGTTGGTAATGGAAAAGAGTTCAATGTGCTGAATGATATATGGATCCTTGACAGATGTATCAACCAGTAGCCAACTTTTGCTGATTGTGCTGCCTTGGAGGGACTGTGTGTTAAGCAGTTAATGTTGGAGAATGGCCAATGGAATATTGATTTGCTTCAGGTGAGTTTTCTTCCGAAACTTGTTAAGATGATCAGCAGTATTCAGGCTGATTCCAGCAGAGAAGACTTTCTGGAAATGCAGAAATTCTGTCCCGGCAGAATAGTTTCTGATTGGCTTTTGAGCAAGTATTAAGAATAAAATTCAGTTTAATTGATGAAGACTATTATAATTGGATTAATAAACTCAAGTTAATCAAGAAGGTGGAGATGTTTTGGTGGAGACTTGGGAATTCATCTATTCCTACCAACCTATATCTTAAGATCCGTAAGCTCCTGGATAATGATTCCTGTGCTAGAGGTTATGGCATGGTGGAGAGCTATGAACATATCATTGTTCAATGCAAATATTTTATTGGAATCATCAATCAGCTTGTTGGTTGGGTATTTCTATTCCTATTTTTAATTCCTTGGATCATTGCCTCAAGGAACTTAAGAAAAGTTCAGCAAATCATCTGGGTATTGTACAAATCTATTGTACTATTGTTTACTTATCTTGGAAGAATAGGAATGAGATTAAACATGGCAAAACTGCACTTCCTTCATATGTGGTTACTTCTAATGAACTATCACTGGCCATTACTAAGACTAGTCCGTCTCTTTCTAACTAGAGCACTAACCTCCTTAGGGAGTCTTAAATTTCTTGGTGCCCCCCACCGAAAGACTGGATGAAAATCAATATTGATGCTTCCTTAACTACTTCGGGATTAGCTGGAATTGGTAGTGTGTTCCAGGATTGCAATGGAAGGTTCATTCTTGCATTTGGGAAGAAGATGATGCATTGGGATATAGCACAGCTGGAGATGGGAGCAATTCTCTCGGCCAAGGATTATGTCAAAAGCTGGATGAGGGACTATAAAGGGGTGATTGTGGAAAGTGATAACAGTAATGTTATCAACTACATTCAAAACTCCTTGAAGCAGAATAAAGGAATCAAGAATGTCAAGTTGGAAAGAGATTCTTTATTTGAAAATGATTTCAATAAAGTTGTCTTTATACATGCTTATAGGAAGTGTAATAAGGTAGCCAACTTGTGTGCTACTATGGCTTTAGAGAATAGTTTTTATTTTGATAGCTTTTCTTTTGATGATATCCCTACCTTGATGGTTAGTTTGATCAAGGAAGAGTATCATCCTTTTGATGTTTGTAATTAGTTCTTTTCTTTTTTCTCCTTAATGCAATTTGCATTTCTTCAAGAAAAAAAAAAGAATCACATTGTGGTGGAAGGTAATTGAGTTATAACCCAGGGTAATATTGAGGGTATTATTCAGCCTGATCTTATTCAGGTTGTCCCCCTCCTATTGTGGAGGTGAATTACTTACTGCTCAAACTGTTGATCCTTTAATGGCAACTATACCTATTTTGTCTGATGGGGAGGAACAAATGTTACGTATTAGCTCCAAGATTATACCTGATCCATCTCTTTCATCTATTCCTTATGATTCACAAAAAACTTTTCCCCAAATGGTTATTTCTGATATTATTACTAACTATCCTAATCCTCTTCAATATATGTCTGTAGATGAGCAAGTTAATGATTTTATTCATGAATGAGCTGATCCTCCTTTACAGGAGGAAGATGTGTCTCTTCAACTGAATCCTCCAAATGCCCAAACTAAGAGTGTTAAGGAATTATGTGGAGGTGTTCATAGTAATATTTCTACTAAAGAAGATGGTGTTTTTTATATGGAAGATAAGCAGCCTCTTTCTAAGGGGCCTTCAGGTAACTTAAATGATAGTATGCTTCTTTTAACTGATCAATACCCTTGTGATGCTTTAACAGATACGTAAGTGGATATTTTGGCTAAATGTTATGCTAGAGAAGATCATTATTTGAGTTTCTCCAAGTGTCGTGGTAAGAGAGGTAGAAACCCCAAAAATGTTATCTTACATCCTCCTAGAAGTATCCATTTGAATACTTCACATTAATTTGGTTTTTTATGCTTAACGCCATTATTTGGAATGTTTGGGGTATTGGTTGCCCTTCATTTAAGTTTAGAGTTAAAAAATTATGTCGTATTTATAATTTGTTTATTCTCATTTTGCTTCAATCTCTTATTTATGTGGAAAAATTACTTGATAATGCTAAATATTTAGGTTACAAACATGCTAAGTAAAATGTTGCCAATAAAATTTGGGTTTTTTGGAAAGATTATGTTAGAATTAATATCATTAGGGACTTTACCCAAGTTTTGCATTGTAATATAGAAAGCTCTAATTTCTAATGTCGTGCATCTTTTGTTTATGCTGCTTCTTCTCATTACACTAGATGGATTTTATGGGATCAAATCACTCAATTTCATAGTATTTGCAACCTTCCTTGGCTTGTTGGGGGTGATTTTAACACTATTATGAACCCGTTTAAGCGTATTGGGGGTTCTCTTCCTATATATTAGTCGACGAAGGAATTTAAAGACATGATGATGGAGTGCAACCTTATTGATATTGGTTTTTCAAGCATTGATTTTACTCGGCATCAAGGGAATTTGTGGCAAAGGCTTGATAGTGTTTTATTTAATAATGCTTGGCTTAATTGTTTTGAGTTGATGAAGGTTGATCACCTTAGCCACACCCTGTCTGATGACTCCCCTCTTCTTTTCAATATTAAGCATAGTACTAAGGGTACCCCTTCCCAATTAAGATTTCAAAACATGTGGTTGTTCATGCTTCATTTCTTGATGTGGTCCAGAATAATTAGCAAGCTCCCTTTTCCCTAATGATTTTATACTGGGTAAGAATAGACTTTGACTAAAACTAAAAAGGCTTAAACAAGTTTTGAATTATTGGAATCATAATGTTTTTAAATATCTACTTTCTAATATTTTATTTGCAGATGATATGGTGAATTCTATAGAGGATCTTTGTAAGTTTGATCCCTCTGAGTCCAATCTTAGCCTTTCGAGAAAGGCTAAAGATGGGCTTTTTAATCTTCAAGAGAAAGAAGAATTTTTTTGGAAGCAAAAAATGGCTGTCAAGCATTTAGTGGAAGGTGATATTAATACTAAATATTTTAATGCTTTGGTTAATAAGAAATATGCTATTAATTATATTTATAAAATTCCTCATGATGATGGCTCTGTTTCTAAGGATAATGATGAGATTGCTAATCTGGCTATCATTTATTTTCAAAACCATCTTAACAAAATCATTTAACTCTTTTACTATTGTAAACCGTCCATTATTCCTAATATTATTTCTCAAGAGGATAACATTGGCTTATCTAAGTCTCCTTCTCTTGAGGAGGTGAAAGATCCTTTATTTGGTATGAATGTTGATTCTATTATTGGCCCTGATGGCTTCATTTCTAAGTTCTTTTATAAAACTTGGCCCATTATTCATAATGATATTTTTTCTGTTGTTATTGATTTTTTTAATGGTACTCCTATTATGAAGTTTTTTTCCTCTACTTCTATTGAGCTTATTCCCAAGAAGAATGCAGTGAATTCCTGGAATGACTTTAGACCTATAAGTTTATGTACTATTTTTTATAAATTTCTTTCTAAGATCTTGATGAATTAGTTAACTATTTTATTGCCTAAACTTATATCTCCTTTCCAAATGGGTTTTGTCAAGGGTCGGGCCATTGCTAACAATGTTATGTTGGCTCAAGAATTTTGTCAAGACTTAGATGTTAAGGCTAGAGGTGGTAATATGATCATTAAACTGGACATTTCTAAGGCTTATGATAATATTAATTGGAATTTTATTTATAATATTCTTAATTTATTTAGTTTTGATCTAAATTTTATTAAGCTCATCAAGACTTGTATTGAAAGTCATTTTTTCTCCATTATTGTGAATAGTAAGAGTCATGGCTTATTTATGGCCTCTCATGGACTTAGACAAGGAGATCCCATTTCCCCTATGCTCTTTATTATTGTAGCGGATTAGCTTTCTAGGGGCCTTGCTGATCTATTTGAGAAATGCTTTAATCTCTATCTCAGAACCTTTGGTGGTATTAAAATCTCTCATCTTTGTTTCGATGATGATTTCATTATATTTTCGAATGCTTCTATGAATAGGATTGATAAAATTATGTCCTTCTTTGATTAGTTTGAATTGGTTAGTGGTTTGGATTTTAACAACCATAAATGCTATTTTATTGTTTCTATGAATGTTTCTTATGATCGTTGTTTGGAAATTAAAAATGTAATTGGTTTTACTTGAGGTGTTTTGCATCTAAAATATATGTGTAATCCTCTCTATAAGGGCAGGAAAAAGTCTTTTCTTTTTGTTCACTTAATTTCTGTGGTACAGAACAAATTGTCTTCTTGGGATTCTGATTTTTAATCCTTGGTGGCCTTCTTATTCTTTTTAAAAGTGTTCTTTTCCCTATTCCGATCTATAATTTTCAAACTCTTTCCCTACTATGACTGTGTACCATAGAATTGATAGAATTTTTAATTAATTTTTTTGGAAAGCTTTTGGGACAAATTCTAAGATTCATTTGTCTTCATGGGGTAAATGTTGTGGGTCTTTGCAAAAAGGGGATTTAGGGTATAAGACTATACTTGATTTGGCATATGCTTTTTCTTTTAAACTATGGTATAAACTTAGGGCCATTGTGAGACTTTGGGCAAATTTTATGATGGCCAAGTATTGTGGTGGGAGACATATTACCATGTGTTATTTTAGTAAAGGCCACTCTAAAGTTTGGCAACTACTCTGCTTACCATGTGTTACGATGGCCAAGGTTTGGGGTCTAGGTAATGGTAATATTTACTTTTGGCAAGATTGGTGGCAGAATGGCAAGTCAATTTATTCTTTATTGAACTATATTTTCGTTTCTAAGGTGAAGGTTAATTTCTTGTTTTTTAGTAGTGGTTAGGATTTGGAGAAACTCTTTACTTTTCTTCCTGGCTTTATTATTCAGCTTATTTTAAAGATTCCTCTAAACAATAAATCTAATGATGT